CTCTCTCTCTCTCTCTCTCTCTCTCTCTCTCTCTGTGTCTCTGTCTCTCTCTCTCTGTCTTTCTACTTCAGTCTCTTCTTTTTCTCTTCCTCTCTGGGTGCCTAGCGCTCCGCGTATTTAGTTGGCAGATGGATCGCACAGAGACTCATCGTGCATGCGTATGTCGCTGCGTGCATGCACAGAGCGGCTGCACATCGTGGCCGGGTGTGCGCGATGCAGCGGCGGTGGGTCAATAGACCGCCCTGCCACTTGTCTTCACGAGGGCTCTCCGCACTCCCACACCAATATTACACGCATTCTCCCGCCTGTGTACACTCGCCATTGTTGTCATACGGCGGCAATTTTCGCGCTTGCTCATTTTCCCGTTCGGGAGAGCGGTGAATACCGCGCGCGGGGTGACTGCGACTCGGATCCCCAGCGGACGGGAAGGCAAAATAACTGCCTGTGTGTGCCGCCATCTGCCATTAAAATCATAGTAATTTCCTTATAAAGACACTCCTACCGGCGCAGACAAAAAAAGCAGGAACGGCTGGCGCTGTGTTTAGAGGCGAGAGCAGAGATTTGAGCACGTGTACTATGCGTTATAGGTGTGTGTGTGTGTGTGTGTGTGTGTGTGTGTGCGTGTCGTGTCGTGTNGTATCGTTCGATAGATCTAGTTGTTTTTTTTTAATTGCTGCCTCTTCGTCTCACACCGTGACCGCTCGCAAGCAACGCAGAGATGTCGCGAAAAACGTGTGTGGAAAAATTCAGTAACGAGGTGGTGAAAGCTTGTATTTTCCGAAAACGATTAAATAAACTTTAGAAATTACTGTTAGAATTATTGCATTTTTATTTTCATCAGTTCATCGTTATTTTCATCGTGTTCCTTGACAAAGACTTTGTTTATGAAAAATATCCCGATTTTTAAGTTAGAATACCAGTCAGTGATCATTACGTCTGATTCAACCAGCGATTCGATTGGNTATATATATATATATATATATATATATATATATATATAGGCCCTATATATGTTTACAAAACTCAATGTTTCCCCCGCGACCATGTAATAACTGTACAGGGTACAATAATAACATTGTTTCACAGTAACACATTACACCGCCCATTTTTTCTACATAGCCGTGTCATCTATATTAACATCGGACGTAATATTTTTTGCATGTTATGCGTTATCGAAACAGCCGGAACATCAGCCGCATTTACTCGGAAGTGCTTCAGATCCGGAACGAGCTGAGATCCAAGCAAAATGGTATGAATTGATGGAATAGATATGTATAAATAAATAAATATATATATATATATAGGATATATATATAT